ACAGGACCGGAAAATACCATGCATATTTATTCACAGAGGGTGGAAATGTGGTACAATTTCTACTTTGCCCTTGTTTGCATTCTTCAGTTCTTGAGACTTTTTTTTCCAATTAAATATATTTCATTAAAAAAAAATTAAATCATATATATTCTTTCATTAATTCATTTTTTAAACCGCTCATCAGGTTCAGAGTCAGGGAGGGCTGGAACCTGTCACAGCTGACTCCAGGCGAAAGGCAGACGACACTTTTAATTGGACTGGCTGCCGTTCAATTGTACAAACCGTACAATATGGACAGACAACCAATCACACTCTGATTCATGTCGTCACTGAGTGGGAACGGAACCTACGCTGCCTGCATGGAAGTCATACAAATGAACCACTACACCATCACTGATTTACATTGTTTTGAATATTTCCCCAAATCACTGCCAAGAATAATGATTGTCCCGCTGTCATTGCAGCAGGTTTGGGCTGCCTGCTGTAGGACACCCTGTGGAAAACAGCGAGCGCTCATTAAAATGCAATTAATGAGCAGCAGTGTTTCATTAACGTGACGTGGCAGGATCCTCAATCTTCTTTCAGACATGGCGCCAATGTTAATTGCTATTGTGAAGAGTTCTGGTTCACAAACGGTGGCGCTACTAATCTACCACATATTATAGTATATATTAGTGCTATACACATAGAGAGTACCAGTCAAATGTTCACACCTTCTCATTCAATAGCATGGGAAAAAGTTTCCAAACTTTCTCAAAAAAAGGGATTTGTTGGGTTACATTAAACATACTTTACACTGTAAACTGCATGGTCCTAAACCTGATGTGCAAGATGAACATCATGGGCTCTATTTTCATGACTGGCGTAAATCCTGCATGGCGGATCTGAGGGAGGTCGACGCCGTTGTGGGAGTGGTCACATCCGACCTCAATCATGGCCAATCAAAACAGTGACTCAAATTATCTATTAATGCGGTCTAATGGTTGCCACTACAGTATCGACATGGAGAACGCATAGCCGCACTATGAAGTGGCCCGTTGGAGACCGCCCTCCCAGTCGTACCAGCCAGCCAGTGGGATGATTTCAAAAAATGTAATGATGATGATAATAATAATAATGCATGCAATGAATTAATTTCAGTGATTCAGAGCATTTGATGCCCAATTCAGAAAACCATCTGACATCCATCACACGTCCACGGAGCGTGCAATTTGTCTGCCTGCGATCTGATCAAATTCCGCCGGCAAAATCGCATTAGACCTGCTTTCCTACTCCAGTTGTACTCCGACAAGTACAAACCGCTTGATTGCCTGTTCAATCTCCCGGTCTTCATGGTGGTGAAATTCCCTCTTGCCTTTGCCCCAGCAGTACAAAGAGCAGGGTGTCGGACTGTTGCTCACCTGCATGAGACATGGCTTCTTTCACTGACAGGCTAATTTAATCAACACAAGAACTCGGATTTGTAAATGTAGGTGGGTGGTATCATTCTTGATGCTTGCTTGGTGTGTTATGACAAGTTTTATTTTGTGGGGAAAAAAATGCTGAATTTTCACTTTCTCACACTTGAATCCGGACCTCAACGGTATCAGATACCTTTGGGAACCAGTTACAGCTGCAAAGGGGCTTCCAAATCAATACATTCTTTCAATATTAGCTCCAGTGTATACATGCGGTCAGCTGTCCTGATTCATTTGTGCACAATGTACTGTGAGATGACAACAGTGAAGCATTGAGGCAGTTTTATACAGAAAAGACAAAATGGGTGAGCATTTTTATAGTCATGAAAACAGTGGCTTTTAATGTAAACACTACATTCGATTGTTTTTTTTTTCCATCACGGACATCCCACATGAAATAACAACCATTCACTAAAGAGGAGGGCGAGAGAGCGACAGAGAAGAGAGAGAGAGAGAGAGAGAGAGAGAGAGAGAGAGAGAGAGAGAGAGAGAGAGAGTGAAAGCTGCACAGAAAAAAAGTATTCACTGATTTGAGAACAAAAAGTATAAAAAAAAATCAAATGCAGGTATCAAGAACAGAATGCCAAAAAAACAGGTATATTATTTCATTATACACATTTGCAAGAAAGAGAGGGCTACATAGATAGATCGATGAAGGCTAACATATAGACATGGCTAGGTAAGAAATTTTGATATTTACGTATTTTGTGTGTGTGTGTGTGTGTGTGTGTGTGTGTGTGTGTGTGTGTGTGTGTGTG